TTCAGTACGTTGACATAATCAATTGGTGTTAGTCGCTCCAAATTGCCGTTCAGTTCCTGAAATGACCAATTGAGCAAGCAAGTTAGAAGTTTCTTAGAAGATTGAAGGAAAGCATTTATACTTTAGCAATCCCGCTCAAATCGCAGTCAAAAGAATGGAATGCGACAGTGGTCATCTTTTATAAGAAGTTGTCATAACAGTGGCACGCAGATGACCAATAACCAGGCTGGATATCAAGAGTGTCGTTTCGATTTTATTAAAGATGGCAAGCGGCATAATTGGTAAAAAGGAAGTAGGATGAACGTAGAACTTATGTGAGATGGCTACAAGCTTTAAATAGTAGAAAATGTATTGAATGGCACGTTGGTATACAAGCATTTTGAGAGTGGAGTGGGTTTTAGTTGAATTGCTTTGCCGCAAAGAATCACAAATAAAAAATAGGATCTATCCTCGCACTTACACTCCCAGCAAAAAAAAAAGTCTTACCTTAGGCATATAATCTCCAGCAGTGAAGTATTCAACAACAGCGGCTCTGTCAATTTTTGAGTATCGTAAATCCTTGAGTAGCTGTGATTCCTAGAAAGAAATATTCAACGCTTGCTCTAAACCGTTTTTGCAAAAATCACAAACGACACAAACCTGTAGAGTTACGTCGACTGGTGTGGCTTCATGGAAACCTAGTACAACAGTATTTGGCTTCATTGCACCAAGGCCGGACAAACGCATTAGCTAAAAATGAGACATTCAGTAAGTCGAAAGTTGGCATATACACAGATGTGATAAAGACACAAAAGTATATAAAAAGCTCATATGAGAAGGAATACCTGCTGTATTCCCTGGCGGATGCTGGTCGATAACGTGAGCTCCACAAAAGCTTTCAATTTCAGGTAGTCAACCAGTGACAGCCAATACGGAAACACCTTTAAAATATAGAAATAGTAAGAAATTCCGAGAAAGCATTGAAAAGTATCACCTGTTGGAGTGGATCTACAGCTTCCCTGCAATCGAAGTCACCTTTCCTTACATGTCCAATGACATACAGTCCAGATTTCTTCAAATCGTTAACAAAATCCATCAGCGGGCACGAGGATGATGGTCTCGAAACCAATAAAAGAATTTGCGGGCGCCAATACCTAGGA